GTCATTTGAAAGTATCACGAATGATGACTGATTTTGTGCGTGTCTGATGGCCGCTAAAATGCGGTGCATGACGACAACTCAAACCATCCTTTTACTTGATTGATTCTGCGTGGTTTCCGATGTGGGGGTTTAGGCTCATTACAGAATCTTACAGCCTTACATGGTTTGATAATCAGGTCCGTTTCTTCTCTGCAAACGCCCTTGAGGATCTACGAAACGCTAAGACGGCTTGATTTTATGATCGGTCAATTGACATATGCCCATCCCTATATTTGATGATGTTTCACTGCATATCTAGCTGCACGCCAATGGCATCACTGTGTGGTACATTTCGAGGACCTAACTTGAGTGTTGAGCAGTGCATGAGGGGGAGGCTCGAAAGCTTTCGAGTCTATCTTCCGTGTATACCTAATTCTTTGACGAATGATTCTCAGGTCGAAAAGTAGCGATTCATACACCAAGTAAAGCGTGTTCCAATTCATGGTGATGAGCGACAATTCCAGGGGCAAGAGAAAATCCCGGGGCCACATTTGTAGAGGTGCATATTTCAGGAGAGTTATGTTTCTTAGCGTGTGTAACATCCAAAGCTCTCATTCATAGAACAATGGAGGCTACTCAAAGTCCAAATATGGTGTTTTACAAGCCCCTTCCCTTCCTCCAGGACAACAGCTAATGGCCATCACAAAGATGCTTTAATTTTTGTAACGAGATTATTATTCGAGGACTATATTATATACGTTATTCCCAGACTTGTCACTAAATAACTCAACAATACCATCGTCAATACAACTCATCATGCAGGATTAGATCGGTGCCACCATAACCCATGATAGCTCAATAGTGTTACCTCACAACCTATCCAACACCGAACCATCATAAGGTTGGGTTGCGGACACCGATTAAACCGATAGAGCACCCAATGGGGCAATACATCAAATTCAACAACGCGCAAGTCTTCAGCGCATCGGCGCTATTTCCCTTCAAGTTTCTCCTTCCTGGCCTTCGCAGTCGAAGCAGCCACCTCCAAGAGATTGGCGATTTGAGCGGCAGTCAGACCGGAATGGCTCGGACGAACCGCCATGTACTCAGGCATATTGGCTATAATAGGTGCCTTAGTTGGAGCAGAGCCGTAGATTCCAGGGGGAGGGACAGCAGGGGCTGGAGCGGCAGAGCCCGAGTGGGCGTTATCAGTAGGGGGTTCAGGAATACCGTGGGGCATCATATTAACACGTAGGTCACCCATGGGAGGCATCAACTGCGCCATAGCTTCGGGTAAGAAAGCTAACGGTGGTGGGTAACTCATCGTAGGATCTAATGA